CATCTTTGTAATATCTCATACTTAAGTTAATTATAAATAGAATGAGGGGCTGGCAGCTAGGGTTAAGTGAATCTATCCTAGTCGACCTTCTTCTCTTTTCTTCCCTTTCCTCTGTCTCTTGCTGAAATCCCCAACTTTCTACTCTTCCTTTCACAAGAAGCTTGGCCGAAATCAGCACATAAGGTTTTCTACTCACACATTGGGTGATTTGATTATTCACTTGAACCAATCGCCTAACATGTTAGGCTATGTTAATATTTTTAACTTGTTTTGGTATGATTGTAGATCATGTGAGTGCACAGAACACATATTAGGCTAGCTTAGCAGTTCTTAATTCTCATAGTAAGGTAGGAGACTTTGGTGGTTGCCTCCACATTTCATATGTTAGAGGATTGTATTTATGTCATTTGGGTTACAAGAGGCAATCATTTATTGAGTAACTTGGTTTTACCATTGTTTGTTAGAATTTCTGTCTTATATTTTGTAGGGTTGCAAGAAAGTCCTGTCACCATGGTAATTCATTGAAACCAAATCACCCAGGTTTGCATGCATTCGGTGATTGATTTTTCACTTGAACCAATTGCTTAACACCAAGTCTCTTTGGTTGGTTTGTCACAGTTGACCGAACCAAGAAAGAATAACTTTATATTAAAGGAAGTAAAAGTACAAAACTGCCCTTACATAAGAAAGTAAAATACAATAAGGTATAGAGATGTCTAGTATAAATACTACACTACATGATATAATAGAAAAAGTACAAAGACAAAATCACTCCTCATCTCTACAGGTGCATGTCATCAAAGTTTTTCACTGGTTGAAGGAAGGTCTTGTTAATAATGGCCCTTGTAGTAAATTCAAGAAGATTTACAAGAGGAAGAGATTAAGAGCCAAATCTAGAACACAGCATTTGGCAAAAACCAGCAAAGATTCGAATTTTTTGGAAGGTGACACAGACAAGAGGGCTTCAAAACTAACCTTGGGAAATCAAGAAGAAGAAGGTTTACCAAGGGATAAGAGGTTGAAGGGGGTTAAGGAAAATTTAGTCGAAAAGATTGTAGAAAGGGAAGAGATTGTTGAAGAGGGAAGCACTGATAGAGTGAGGAAAGTATAACAGAATATTGATCTGGAAAGAAAAATAGTGAAGTTCAAGTTTGCAATATTTTAGGCTTATCTTTTCTGGGAGGGGAGGAATTTGCAAGAAAGGTGTTCTGGGAATTTGAAGAGAGATCAAGTGAAAAAATAAGGCTTTAAGGGGTAGAGTTGTTTGGTGAAAGGGTTATGGGGTTTTGACTTGGTTTCTTTTGTCTTGTTTTTTTTTTTTTCAGTGGGCCTTATTTTCTTTGTTTGTAAGGATTGGGACAGAATTTTTTGTATCTGAAAATTTTGTAGGGTCTGGAGGTGTGTTCTTGGATTTTGTTCTTTTTGGGTGATATCTTATCACCCGTGCGTAACTGCTTATTCCTCTTTCTCTAATAAATTTTATTTATTTATTTACCTCCAAAAAATGTCAAGTGCTGAAACTGAGTATAAAGATATGGTCCATGAGGTTTTGGAATTGATATGGTTGAATACCTTGCTAAATGAGTTGGGGATCAATTCCGAGAGACTAAATGAAACTGTATTTTGATAATCAGGTTGTCACAAGTATTCTTCTCCTAATATTTATGACTGATGATCTCACAGTTGTCCTATAAAGCTTCCTATTAAGTTTGAATTCTATGCACTAATTGCACAATACACATGAAGTATCTCTTCATTCTTCCAACTTTAGTTCTATGGGAGAGATCATCTCTCTATGTGGATAGTTGATCCAATATATCAAGATTGAGCACTTTGAGGAATCATTTGGCCATTGATTTTAACTAAATTCCTATTTTAATCCTATCTCTTCTAAAAATTATATCCCATATGTATCCCAATAAAAAGGGCCATTACTTGGTGTAATGGTAAAAAGGGCTGGCAAGAATGAGAACGTGGGTTGGAGTCTGAGAACAGCCACTTTGTGCAAAAAAATGCCAAAGGTTAAGGACCATATCCAGTCTACCCCTCCCAAGGCCGCAGATAGCTAGGACCAGCATTAGGTAATGACTTATTATGTATCCTAATAAAGGTAATACTATTTTTGATAAAAATTTATTCAATATATTCAGTTAATTTAGTTTTCTTGAAATCTTTTAGCTTCTAGTTCTTTTTGTTCTTTTTTTGATTGGAAACGGTAACTTCATTAATACAACTTAAGAATAACTTTCCAGAGTTAAGTACATCTGTCAACCCCTAAACAGGTGTTGATTCCCCAGTAATCTTTCTTACAAAACTGCCCAGAACATTCTCTCCCTCACATTCCCTTGTTTAGCCAACGTGTCAGATACCCCATTAGCTGATCTCCTTGTCCATTTGAAGCATGCACCAATCTCCCTTGTTGTGTTGAGGATTTCCTTTATGGGCTGTCTATAAATCCAGGCTCCCAACTTACCAGATTGCAGACACTCAATCAACAATTTAGAGTCTCCCTCTATCTCAATTTGGTGTAACCCCAACTGTTTGGCATATCTTACACCTTGAAGCAAGGCCATCACCTCTGCTCTCAATGAGTCCCCCACTCCTTTTGGTCCTGAAAACATAGCCACAATTCTGCCATTTTCATCTCTGAATACTCCTCCTATACCTGAAGGGCCCGGGTTACCTCTATAACTCCCATCAAAATTCAATTTCACTCTTTGTTGTGTAGGTGGGGACCACAATTCCTGCACAATCAATCACATCATGTCTTATAGAAACAAAATACACCATGGTACCTCCTTCAAATCTTGTTCTCATGCATAACCAATATAAAAATAAATAAATAAAATAAAACTCATTATGGACCTTTGACGCAAGCCTCTTGAGACCATGAAATAGCTGGCCTTCTATCAATTTTTGTTTTTCATGTTAATTGCTATTTCTTCATTTCTATCCTTCAGAATGACAATAGATCCATTCAAACTCTTGTATTACTCAATTTAGAGAGAGAAATGGTTCTGGTTTAAAGACAAAGGGGCTCATGTAATAGGTATTACCAAAAAATAAGGAACCAAACATATAAAAAAGTAGAAACATAATGTGTTAAATGTAAAACTCACCAAAAAGGATGAGCTTCCGGTATTGATAAAGACTATATGTTCAAAATCGTTCAAAATGTAGAACTAGTTCATCAACCATAGCTCCAATATGCTTACACTGAATTCATATTATATTTGTCCTCAAGAACACAATTTGACTCTGGTTCACCCTTTTTGTCAGGGATTGCTTCCAAAAAATTTGATAAAGTCTATGCATGTTTCTTTCCTTGCGGGATGCTTTCGGTCAATACGCTTTGGCTTAGAAGAAGCTCATGGGTAACTAATTGTTTTATCCTACCTCAGCATTTTGTGGCTAAGTACTAGTATTTTGAATCCTATATTACCATTTCATTGATATTTAATAAATTAAATCAGGAAAGGACAAGCTCTACAGTTTAACTGGTTATTTGAGAAAGGAGCTTTTGTTTTGCACTTTGATGGAACATTTTCAGTTGATTTCAGCAAGGTAAGAAAGTTTTTAACTCTTCAAACTTCAAGGTACTTTTCTACAGAAAAGGATTCCAAAGGTTTGCACAGGAGTTTAAAGTTTCTCATATTGTTAGGTTGATGGAGCCGTTGAAAGTTTGAGCAGGGAGATTCTAACAATACAGGCAAAAGGTGACAAAACTGCTGCAAGGTCACTTCTCCAGAAATATGGTATAATGACAAAACCATTGCAACTCGCAATGGAAAAATTAGAAAAGATTGAGGTATGGGACTGTACTATATTACTGATAATTATACACATTTTAAGTTGGGAATTTTTGAACTCTTAAAGAGTACTAGAAAAAAGAGGCTTACCATCTATAAGATCAATACCATGACACACAGTGCACAGATATAATTAAAACTAACATTTCAATAAATCTCCCATGAGAAATATGTCCTATGTAAAATCCAGCATTATTGAATGATTAACCTTCTTGTTTTTATCTAAAGGAAATGAAGAAAATTGTTCAATAGTTCAGAGAAAGGCTACTGAGTTCAATGGATGTGGGCATTACGTCAAATTTATTCTTGATCTGACATTCTTAAGTTGAATACATGGACTGTGGCTTCTTAACCATAATGCATGTAGAATTTTGTTATATTTTTCCTCTGAATGATAGTTCCCTATCTATAATATCAAAATGGATTATCCTCTTCAAAATAGAATTAAAAGTGAGTTTTAAGGAAAAGGCAAATTTTCACTTTTTTACCATCTGTTATAATTTAAAACCACTGTGAACCATTTTTTTCATTGTCTGATGAAAATCATCATTATTTTATATAGTAGCAACTGCCCTACTAGGGGCATTCTTGTAGTCTTCACCTTTGTTATGTTTGATCTAATAAAACAGAGAAAGTAGCTGGGAGAGAGCTATGATCTCTTCTTCCAAAAGTCTCTCTTTCTTCTCTCTTCTCCTTCTCCCTTCTTCTTCCTTGCTGTTCCAGGTTTATCTGTACTATTTTTCCCTTGATTAAACACACTGTTTTAAAAGTGCAGGTAATTTTATAGTATAATTTGTTAAAACATATGACTTTTCATATTCCAAAACTGTTATTGCTATAGAGTACATCTAGAAGTTTCCATAAAGCATCATGTATTGCATCTGTTAAGCATCAGATAGAATACTAGTATGCTAGGCATGCACAAGTATATGGGCATCATAGGTTCTAAGACAAGGAAGTTGCTAATTTTTTCACCTTTTAGTTTCTTTTACAGCCACCTAATATCAAAAGCCTAAGTTGTACCTTTGACAAAAGGTGTACAATAGTAACAATACTTCTCTTATCAATCTCTGAGACAATCAACTCAGGAGTCAAGAACTTTGCATGCTTTAGTTTCAAACAAGAGATAAATCTTCAGAGGAAAAAAATAACTTTTATAAAACTTTATACAAAGGTAGAAATGTTTCACTGGCAATTGCCCATTTTCAGACACTTTTTCCCATTAAATCTCCCAAAGAAAATCACCAATACACTCCATTTGAGATTAACCCACCATTACTTTACCAAGCACTAACTATTACAATGAACTTTAAGAGAATAAAGTGAATAATAAAAAGGGCAAATTTCTTATACTACCCTTAAGGTTTAGAAAATTAACTAATTATACCCCTACTGTTTACATATTGTCTTAAAGTACCCTCAAGTTTTCTAATAATTGTTTAAAACCTCCCTTACCATTAACTTTCTGTCACACTCCATTCACATGTGACATCACGTGACAGATATATTTTAAAATTCCTAAAATACCCTTTTATGGTTTCACTCCATTCTCCCTCTCTGATTCTGATTCTGTCTTCGACTTTGTCTCTGATTCCGATTCCGATTTCGTCTTCATCTACGTCTCCAGCTCCGACTCCAACTTGATCTCGATCAAGAGGAGAGAGGAGGAGAAGAAGAAAAAGAAGAGAGGAGAGAGAGAAGAGGCGAGAAGATTTTTAACCAAAAAAACATAAACTAGCAGTGCCAGAAATTTGTATTTATATGTTAGGGCGGCAATATAATAAATAAAAGATAAAAAGACAAAAGTGCCCCTGTGGCACATAACTAAAAAACTACATCACTGCCCCTCAAGTTGGAGCATAGATATCAATCATCCCCAACTTGTCACAAAGATTGTAGTGCTGCATGGAGTTTAATCCTTTAGTAAGGACGTCTACAAGTTGTTTCTCAGAACTGATGTAGGGAGTGCAAACTTCTCCTTTTTCCAATTTTTCCCTGATGAAGTGTTTGTCAACCTCTATATGTTTGGTTCTATCATGGAGAACAGGATTGGCTGCAATGTTAATGGCAGCCTTATTGTCACAATAGAGTGACATAGGATCACTGAGAGGAAAGCCTAATTCACCCAAGAGATTCTTTATCCATAGAAGTTCTACCACACCATGAGACATGGCCCTGTGTTCAGCTTCTGCACTCGATCTAGCCACCACACTTTGTTTCTTACTCCTCCAAGTAACAAGATTTCCCCCAACAAAGGCACAATAGCCACTAGTAGATTTTCCGTCATCCATAGAACCAGCCCAATCTGCATCAATGTAAACCTCAACTCTCATATGCCCATGTTTTCCAAACAGGAGTCTTGTCCCAGGGAATTTCTTCAAATATCTAAGAACTCTATATACTACCTCCAAGTGTATGGCCCTGGGAGCATGCATAAACTGACTAAGAACTCCCACTCCATATGCAATGTCAGGCCTTGTCATAGATAGGTAGAGAAGTCTGCCCACTAGTCTTTGATACTGATTTATGTCTGCTATGGGCTCATCACTGCAATCCCCGAGCCTGTGGTTTACAACTATAGGAGTGTTAGCAGGCTTTACTCCAAGCTTCCCCATGTCTTTCAGTAGATCTAGAACATATTTCCTCTGGGAGATGAAAATACCCTGATTAGAGCGAGCAACTTCAATTCCAAGGAAATAACGTAAAGGCCCCAAACCCTTCACTTCAAATTGAGTGGCCAAAAATCTCTTCAATCTCTATATCTCTGAGTCCCAATCACCGGTGATAATAATGTCATCGACATACACAATTAAAGCTACCATTCTTCTTTTCTCTCTCTTTTGAGTATGTGATCAGACTAGCACTACTTAAAACCCATCTGTTGAACTGCCTTGTGGAACCTACTAAACCAGGCCCTTGTGGAACCTACTTTCTGCTCATTTCCTTTAGCACAAAAACTTGGAGGTTGGGTCATATACACTTCTTCTAAGTCACCATTCAAAAAGGAATTTTTAATGTCTAGTTGATGAAGCTCCTAGTCTAGATTTGCTGCTAAAGATAGGAGAACTTGAATAGAATTCATTTTTGCTAAGGGTGCAAAGGTTTCTGCATAATCAACTCCATACACTTGTGAAAAACCTTTTGCAACTAGCCAAGCCTTGTACCTCTCCACTGTGCCATCTGCCTTATGTTTCACAGAGAATACCCATTTGCACCCCACAAATTCCTTTCCCTCAAGAAGATCTACCAGCACCCATGTGCCATTTTTGTTAAGGGCATTAATTTCTTCCTTCATGGCATTTGTCCATTCGGGAACAAGTAAAGCTTCTGCAACACTCTTAGGAAGGGAAACACTGTCAATAGCAGAGAGGAAAGCACGGAAAGAGGGTGAAACATTCTCATAGGATAAGGAAAGGGCCATTGGGTAGTGAGTGGTGCATGATCTAACACCTTTCCTCGTAGCAATAGGAAGATCTAGATCACAATTAGAAGTATCAAAATCAATGGGCTCAGGGTCATTAACTGGAACAATAGTACCTGGATGTAGTGATGTATTCAACCCCTAAGGGTTTGATGGCGCAGGTTGCACAGCTTCAGGATGCTCTGTGTCTATTGAACTTTGTTGATCCCGGCCTTGACTTTTGTACCGCTATCTACAAAAGACCCGAAATGGAGGATCAAGAGAAGGCAACAAAACATGTCTCTGTTTCTCCTCAGTTGGACTCTCCCCTTGAGGAGAAGCAGGGAAGAAAGGCACATCTTCAAAGAAATAAACATCCATGGATACAAAGTACCTTTTGGAAATAGGGTCAAAGCAACGATAACCTTTTTGGGAAAGAGGATAGCCAAGGAAAACACAAAAAATGGCTTTAGCATCTAGCTTAACATGGGTAGGAGGCAGATCATGGACAAAACACTTACACTCACGCATAGGGATAGGAAACAATGGAGCTGTAGGGAAGATGAGCTGATGAGGGGACTTGTACTCCAAGAGACGAGATGGCATCCGATTGATAAGATAAGCCGCAGTCATAACAGCATCCACCCAGAACCTTTTTGGAACATTCATGTGTATCAACAACCCTCGAGCAATCTCTAAGAGATGACGATTCTTTCTCTCTGCAACCCCATTCTGTTGAGGGGTTCTAGCACAAGAGATACGATGAATAGAGCCACAAGTTTCAAAAAATTCTGTGAGGTCACAGACATTGAATTTTTATTACATAAAGAAAATGAAGTTCTACAATGCTTGCTTAGCTAACACACTTGACACTGAAAATCATGAATTGACACAAACTTAAGCAATTTTGGAAACAAGTATTTCAAAGACTCAAAGAGCAGATGACCCAAACGGTTGTGCCACAAAGTAACCTGACTCTTATTTGACTGACTCAAAGACTAAGGCCGCAAGACCAACTTTATTCTCCAGCACATGGAGACCATTCACCATGTTCCCTTTACCAACCGTCCTCCCGGAGGCCAAATCCTGAGCAGTTCAAAGAGTGTGTAATGTTGCTAATAGATAGTAAATTAATAGGAAGTTTTGGAACATGTAAAACATTTGATAAAGGTAAGCCAAATGGCAAAGATATAGATCCTCGACTAGCAATGGAGGAGAATGATCCATCAGCTAACCTCACTTTATCTTTGCCAGAAAGGAGGGTGTATGATTGGAAAAAGGTGGACTTACCAGTCATGTGATTGGAAGCACCATAATCGATAATCCATGGAGATTCAAAGGTATCGGTAGACACATGGAATGCAAAAGCTAAGTTACTTGAGGAAGAAACAAAAGAGGTTGAAGGAGTGGGTCCAAAATCTGTTTGTGTGAGAGCCCTATCATATTGCTCCAAATGGTCACGAAAAGGCAGTGATAATATCTTCCTTAAGATCAGACCTAGGGGGGCAATCTTGAGAGTTCACAGTAGGTCCTCTACTCTACAACTCATAAGGGGCCAAGTTGGCCGATGTGAACCTCTTCTGATTTGGTTTCTTGTTTTGTTCTTGTGCTGATTTCTTATTTAGGTCTTGTGCCCACTTCGGCTTACCATACAATTCCTGACATGTTTCCCGTGTGTCAGGATTTCTAACAATGAGTGAACCACAGTTTATCCTTATCATCAACCCTTTTCTAACTGTTAACAGCTATTATTTTTTCCTATGTATAGTACCGCAGGGGTACTATTGTACTTTTACTCCTTTTTATTTTAGTTGTTGTCGCCCTAGTATATATATTAAAAAAGCTGCACCGCCAGCAGTATCTTTTTGCCCTCAGTTCTCTCTTCTCTCTTCTTCTCTCTCTCTTTTCTCTCTTCTTCCATTCTTCTCTCCTGCATAACATGGTATCAGAGCGGAACTATCAGATCTGAAATGAGAAGTCGAGTGAACAGTTTTTTTCTTCTTCGCACCAGATTTCCAGATCTGTCGCCCTCATCTGCTGTTCGGCTGATTGAAGATCTCACACACTGAAGTAGCATTTCTCTCCCTCTCGGCCTTACCCTCTCTGATGTTTTACATGTTCCGAAATTTCCCATTAATTTGTTCTTTGTTAGTAGTATTACTAATTCCTTAAACTGCTCAGTGACCTTTTTCCCTTCTTACTGTGTGATCCAGGATCTGGCCTTGGGGAGGACGATTAGTAGAGGATGTATGGTTGATGGACTTTACATGCTGGAGAATAAGGCTAGTTAATGGACTTTACATCCAGGATCTACCCCTAAGGCCCTCATTTTGAAAATTTAAAGAAGAATGATGCGCAAAATAGTCTTTTTAATTCTTCAGTTAATGGACAATGACAATAAGGAAGATTTAGTCAATTGTCAGAAATAGTAGGGATACTTTACGACAATACTAAAACAGTAGGGGTATAGTTAGTCAATTTCCTAAACCTTAGGGGTAGTTTAAGATGTATTCACCAACTTTGATATCCATTAGGCCCTGTTCGCTTTTTGGTAAGTTACTTACCCGGGTAAATGCAGTTTACCTGGGTAAGTTTTTCCTGGGAAACACTTACCCAAGTAAGTGCATTTACCCATGTTCTTTTATTTCTCATGTAAATAAGGTAATGCCCATTTTAACCATAAAAATCCATCATTAAAAAGGGAATTTTTGTCTCATTCAAGTGTTAACAACTTTCCCCCCTAGGTGGGAAAGTTATTTACCCACCTAGGAGATGGGTATCACTTACCCGGCCGGGTCAGTGGTACCCAGGAAAATAAACTTTCCCTGGTCCCCACATAAATCTGAAAAAAGAACATACTCAACATAGCATTGGTATTGATGCTAATCCAAGACCAACTTTCCTCCCTCTCAAAATCCAAAAAAAGGATGCCCCCTTAGAAGTATGTACTTCTAATCCAAGATATGTGATAAGCTCTCTAGCGTGGAGGGAAAATAGCATTGGTATTGATGTTTCTTATACTCCATTATATGTGCATGGCAAGTGATATCTGGATTGTTCAAATGGTTCAAGCAAACAAGCAAGTTTTTTTTTCTTTTCATTTTCTGTGGTTGGTCACTTGGCCATAAAGGAATTTTTACAAAATCTCACTTTATCTAGGACTATATATTTTTATTGAAGCATATTTGTCAACTTTCTAGGTTTTTTTTTTGAACCCCAAACTATTGGTGGAGGGGCAACCACAGAATATTTAATGAATAATAATCAAAAACAAAGTCCAAAGTGGGGGTCATAAAACCTTACCCCTCAAAAGAAGCTATGCAAGAAGGTTTCTAGCTCATAAAAGACACATATAGAAACATCGAAGCACACAAGGAAGGGACCAACTAACTAGAATGAAGGGGATACCCCATTTATCAATTATTTTCTAGAGATTCCATTGATTTTGTTTAGACTATTAAAACAGGATTCAGAAAAGCATATGTACTCTGATTGAATCAATCCTCAATTATATGGGCTTGAATCATCAACTAGCAAATTAAGAAGGAAATATCCTGCAGTTGAAAAAACTTAAGGTTTAAATCTCAAGAAAGGGACCTGTACATGTGACATCAGATGTCTCCAGTTTTTGTTCACAGATTGTGCCAACAAACTATTGATGGATCCATGAATGAGTTAAGGGATTTAGGCATGAGCTATTCATATAATATGATGTATAGGAGGCATCACCCCCAATGCCCTAGAGAGCACCAATTTTGCTCTTTCTTTGGCAAAACAGGACTTTGCTCCAAAGAACTAAACTGAATATTTTGTTTCTTCATTTGAGGCTTTATCTGTTAGCCTCTGAGCTGTCACGGGTTCTTACACTGATGAAAGTAACATATTCTCTTGAAGGTTCTGTGGCAAAGTTCACCTTGGAGTCCCTTCCATATTCCTGTAATTAAGATATGCAGCTAAGGCTCAGTTTGGAAGGAGTACAAATGCAAATTTGTAGAGTGCAAAACCTTGTATTTTGTATTATTTTTTTATGTATTTGCACTGCACATATTTGTATTTGTACTCCTTCCAAACTGAGCCTAAAGTTTCATCTTTACTAATTAACAGCTCCACTTGACTGACCTATCACTATTTAACCCTTGTTGATTGCAGGTACCAGTGGATGTAGCTCCCGTATTTTGCACTGCTGACAAAATACTGGAGGAAAAACGTTAGAAATGTGATAATGCACTTTTACTCCACTTTTATGGAGTAAGTTTTTTGTAGTGCGAATCCAAATTGATCTCAATAAAATGTAATTGATTGTATTAAGGACACGGACGCAATAAAGGATGTAGTATGGTTTATTGTTTATGGTTAGTTAAGATTTGATATAATTACCTACTTTATAACCAAATTTATCAAATGTAGTTATCAGTTAGGTTAATGTGGACTATGAATGTTGCCTAGATTGTGGGAGTCACTATTCGTCTTTTCTATGCATTTTTCATTTTTGCTTTTAGATTATTAACCAATAAGATAAATCTAAAATTGCATAGAAGCAAAAAGTTTATTTTATTTAGTTAAATATTTATAGTGAAGACACTTGCCAACTAATTCAGGAACAAAAGACTCGGTGTTGCCAGTTGTACAATCTTTCTAACACTTCTAATACGCCCCCTCAAGTTGGAGCATAGGGATTAATCATGCCCAACTTGGGTAATAAAAAGACATAATGAGCAGCTCTTAACGCTTTAGTGAACAAATCTGCAAGTTAGAGACAGGATGAGAGATGTTGAGTAGCAAATTGTCAGGCCTGTAAATGTTCTTGAACAAAATGACAGTTAATTTTCATGTGCTTTGTGTGCTCATGGAAAACTAGATTAGTGGCTATATGAAGTGTGGCACTATTGTCACAATATAACCATTGAGCACTAGAAGGTGTTCATAGCTTGTAGTCTTGCCAAAGAGCAACTCATAAGGAGTTTTGCCATTGAAAATTGGTATGGGCAGTCTGTTGATAATGTGTGCTACTGTCAATATGCAATCTCTGCAGAAGCAGAAGCGGATAGGTAAAGTGGCTTGAAAATGAAGTGTCCTTACCTTGAGCAAATGCCTATGTTTGCGCTCGACCACACGGTCTATACCATTTAGTATGATGTGTCAACATAGGAAGTTTAGTGTTCAATCCCATGTAGATGATAAAACTGCTACATGGGCTGAGAGAACTTTTTTCCATTATCGGATTGGATGATCTTAACCTGTGCATTGAACTAAGTATACATCATATTGCAGAACATGATAAGAAATTGTGGTGTTTCTAATTGAAATTTCATCAAAGAAACCCATGTTGCCTGTGTAAAATCATCCACTATTGTTAAAAGATACCTTGCATCTGAATATATTGGTGTGTGATATGCACCCTATATGTCACAATGAATCAATGAAAAAGGGGTAATCTGGTGAGTTTAGCTCAATTACATGAATCACAAGAGAAAGAAGAATTCAAATGAATATCTAAATTGTGTATTAGTACCAGCGTATCAGAACCAGCATATCCAAGTCTCTGATGCTAGAGCTCTAGATTTTTGTTAACAGTAGTATGTAATGCAGTAGGAGAAGAGGGGTTGAGGAAGTGGTATAGTCCATTTCGCATCTCACCCACAATTAGTTTCTTTGAGTGTAAGTCCTGCATTAATAGAAGGTAGGGAAAAACAAGATGGCACAATTCAAGTCTGGTCAGTTTACTAAAAGTAAGTTGCACTTAAAATCAAGTAAGACACCATGTAAGGACAGATCATGCCCCAAAGTCACTATGCCTCGTTGCTGCATTGGCACGAAAGCACCATTAGGGGGCTAGACATTTTTTACCGCAGTGGTATCAATAGAGAAACCATTTGGTGAATGGCTAGTGGGCATCATATGATCAGATGCACCACTATCTATAATCTAGGTATCAATGTGTGATCAAATAGAAAAGACAGCTTACCAACAAAGTTGGCCTAAGGCAAGATCAATTTCTTATCAAGATTGAACAATTCCATCAATTGATGGTACCGATCCATATTGAGAGCTAAAACTGGAGTGGAGGTTGATGCATTGTCATTTTGAGAAGTATTGGAGTTGGCTCATGGTTTTTGATAATCAGAAGTGCCTTGTTTTGGAGCAGATCCCCCCTTGCTTTCCAATTAGGTGGATAACCTACGAGTTCATAACACAGATCTTTGGTGTGGCCATTGCGTTTGCAATGGTCACAACATAGCTTTGGTTGGGAATTCTTAGAGGTTGAGGACGAGTTTTGTCCAGCAACATGCATCGCGGTGGCATCAAGATTTTGGTAGAATGGGCAACAAGATTTTGACGACACTTTTCTTGATTCACAAGAGAATACACTTTGCTAACCAATATCAAAGGTTCCATCACCAAAATGCTAGAACAGACTATGTTGAAGACTTCACTCAAACCCAACAAGAACTGGTAAACACATTCGCATTCCCTTTTCATTGGCAAGATCTCTTGCCGCGTCACAAGTGCATGCTCCATAGGTGCAACTTAGAATTACAGAATTGCCATCCTAGATTGCCTTAAGCTTGGTGTAATAGACAATCATAGATAGATTTTCTTGCCGAAGAAGAGCTAATTCTCATTTGAGCTGAAAGATTCATGGAGCATGTCCTAGTGAAAATTTTTCTTCAAGATCCAACCATATATCACATGCATAATCCACATATGCTACACTTTCATGTAGATTTTTTGCAAGAGAATTAAAAATCCATGATATTACTACCATTGAGTTATACTTGATCCAAGTCTATTCTTCATTGCTATATCTCCTAGGTTTTTGGATTGAGCCATCCACAAAACCAAACTTGTTTTCCGCAGAGAGAGAATTTCTTGTCGTTCTTTTCTATTTCGCATAATTGTTCCCATTAAGCAGACAGGAAACCAGCATTGCACCTGGGTTATCACTCGCACTGTTTCGCTTTACCTAGTTCAAAGCTCTGTTACCATCTAAAATTGTTGAGAAGCAAAAAGTTGAGTCTATTTCATTCAGTTAAATATCTGTAGTCAAAACACTTACCGACTTATTCAAGAATAACAAACTCAATTGTTGCTAGCTGTGCAATCTTTCTAATACCTCTAATAATAAACTACAACCATTTCTGCTTCAATGCTTGTGAGTATTTTTATTGATTACTTGAGTTTTGCTCCAAGTCAAAACAAATTATATAATGAACAACAGTGACAATTAAGTCACAGTCAGAATATATTAAGTTTTATGCCTTTTTTGTAATGTTCAGGGGTATTTTTATATTTTTCTTTTTTAGTAAGAAAATATTTTATTAATTCTTTCATTTCCAAATTATAAATATTAGTAAAGGAGGTTGAACTCCCATCTTTTCTCTCCTTTTAATGTGGTGTTTTTCTCTCCTCTACTCTCATTTCTTCTTCCTCCTAATTTGAAGTCACATATCCCCCCCTCCCCCAGAATGCATCCCAGTACATCCCAACCGTGTATTGAAAACATCTCCCAATAACAAATATGAGAGATGTTCTCAATGCAGACTGAGATATGCATGTGGGATGTTTTTGGGGCTCATTCTGTGGCGGGCAGATGTGAACTCTCCTAATTTCATACTATTTAAACCAATTAATAGAAAAATAATATCAAATTGGTAACCAATAAAGATCTTGCTGCTTTTATCTCTTCTTTCAAGGTGAAGTCCATGATCGTTTAGAATCAGCAACTCGTTAAGATCTAAAAAGGTTGATCATTAGATTTAAGTTTTCCTAATCTTCTAGTACTTTGGAGAATCTCTAAAAGCTTTTTCTTTCCTAGGAAATTGTCATATACATTTTCATCCAAAAAAATTCTGAAAGTGTGGTCATTAGCTTTTCTATGCATTTCCTTCTTGTTGCTTTTAAATAATAGATAATAGGTAATATATCAAAGTGATGTCTGTTGAGGCAAAGGATCCCCTCATTGTTACTTATCTTCATTAATTGTCATGAATTTCAAGTTTTATTTTTTAAGGGTCATTTACTAAAATACCCCTATTTTATACCATATTAACCATGACACTCCCTGTAGTTTGTGTATTACTAAACCACCCCTTTTAATTTTCACCCATCTTACTAAACACTCACTTTTTTAGCTATTATTATAACATAAGAAAAATATAAATAAATTAACATTATTTTAAAGTGACCAGTGATGTGATCGTGGAACTGAATTTGACAAAAATGAGACAGAGAACCACAGGAGTTAAAATAAAAAAAGGGTAAAATACTTAAACTATCTCTATGTTTTAACAAATGAATTAATACTTAGCTTATTGTTTGAAAAATTATTTGAAGTATCCTTTGACAATTGATAAAATCATTTCTTGCTATTAACATGTTGTTAGAATCCATTTGTACGTGATGTCATGTGATTGCATGATTTTTCTTAATTTCAAAACAATCCTTTTGCGGTCAATTTTACCTTTTATTGTTCTTCAAATTTTCAAAATAAAATCCAATGGCAATGTTGTCAATGAAAGAACCTTAGATAAAATGGGATTTTGAGGTTATTAAGTAAAAGAAGACCCCTTCATTAACAAATTGCTTTCTCTTACTAATGTTGCCGATCGATAGAAGAGATCATGCAGAACTTACTGGTAGGAGACCATCAAAGGTCTCACCAGAGTGGATGAATGAGGATTCTTCAATTCATCCCTTTGTTTTGTCCCCTTTTAGAATATGAAAATCCTGATTTTGAAGCAAAATTCACTAGAATTTGCCTTAAAAACTCACAAAATCCTTCCCAAGCCACTCCATGAGAATCTGAACATACATAAATGACCTAAAAGAAATTGGTTTGCTTGTAGATTTAAAATTCCAAGCTTGTTGAAGTCCTTTTTTAACTTTTCAACCTATTCAGGTTGGAGCAAAGTAAGGCCTCTTGATAAACTATATACCCATAAAAGAAAAGAAAAGAGAGGTTTCATCTAATCAGAGTAGAAAAATGAAAATTGAGCCTATAGCGAGCCTTGTTTAGGGCCGGAAAGAGAGGTATGAGAAGTTTTTCTCTTCCTTCTTGACACGTTGCCAGTAATTAACAAAATTACTTCTCTAATTGAATGAACGCTTGAGAGGGAGATGGCAAAGGTTGTTAATAGAGCTCGCATCGTCTGTCCCCTACGGGTTGCAATGCGAATTTATTTGTACTGATGCAAAATTATAATTTATTTTTATTTCAAATTTACAATTATTTTGTTTGATTACAGTATAAATGAAGTAAAATAAGACCTAAAGTAAAACCTAAAACAAAACTAAACCAGAATTTGCATTTTTTTTATTTACATTCCTATGCATTTGTATTAATGCAAATAAAATTGCACTGCAACCAAACACAGCCCTAGGGACAAAAAATTTTTCTGTCCGGCCACCCTCTCCCAAATTCAT